GCTCGCCCTGGCAGCCCCGCGGCTCCCCCTTGCGTGGAGAAGTGCGTTGAGCTGGTGCAGCTGGTACAACTGGAAAGAACTGGGCATAGAACTGGTCATGGACCTGGCCCATGTCAAATAGGGTCAGGCACAGAACTGGTCGTCTCAAACATGTAAGTTTTAAGTATATAGATCCTTTCTTTTTTGAATGTCGGCCAGATCTATTCCGGACCCTATTTGGAACGGACCAGTTCTATGATCAGGTTTATCCAGTTGCATTAGTTCCGCAACGAAGCAAACCATCACCAACGAAACAACGAAACTCTTCTTACCCTGGTGATCAACGCTGTCAAGGTAGTCAGCCTTGTCAACCCTGTCAACCCTGGACGAGCCACCTCAGCGGTCAGTTCCGCTGCATGCTTCCACGCTTCCCTGGTCAAGGCAATTTGCCTGGCGATCGTTTTCGGATGGCGGTGATGGTGGCGATGATGGCGGCGATGATGCGCACCCAACTCGCTGCAATGCGAATTGCGGGCATGCAACGCAAAGCAAGGTTTAGCACATCGGGCGAAGCGCGGAACCCAAGCAACAAAAACGAACAATGGCGCGCCCTGGCAGCCCCGCGGCTCCCCTTTGCGTGGAGAAGTGCGTGGAGCTGGTACGGCCGGTACAACTGGAAAGAACTGGGCATCGATCTGGTCATAGAACTGGTACATGTCAAATAGGGTCAGACATAGAACTCGTCGTCTCAAAGATTTAAGTTTTAAGTATCTATATTCTTTCTTTGTAGAATGTCGGCCAGTTCTATGCCGGACCCTATATTGAACGGATCAGTTCTATGACCAGTTCTATGACCAGTTCTATCCAGTTGTACTAGTTTCGCAACGAAGCAAACCATCATCAACGAAACAACGAAACTCTTCTTACCCTGGTAATCAACTCTGTCGAGGTAGTCAACCCTGTCAACCATGGACGAGCCACCTCAGCGGTCAGTTCCGCTGCATGCTTCCACGCTTCCCTGGTCAAGGCAATTTGCCTGGCGATCGTTTTTGGATGGCGGTGATGGTGGCGATGATGGCGGCGATGACGCGCACCCAACGCGCTGCAATGCGAACCGCGGGCATGCAACGCAAAGCAAGGCTTAGCACATCGGGCGAAACGCGGAACCCAAACAACAAAAACGAACAATGGCGCGCCCTGGCAGCCCCGCAGTTTTCTTTTGCGGTGAGAAGTGCGTGGGGCTGGTACAGCTGGAAAGAACTGGTCATAGAACTGGTCCATTTCAATTAGGGTCCGGCATAGAACTGGCCGTCTCAAAGATTTAAATTTCAAATGTATAGACTCTTTCCTTTTATAACGTCGACCAGTTCTATGCTGGACCCTATTTTGAATGAACCAGTTCTATGACCAGGTCTATGATTAGTTTGATGACCAATTCTATCCAGTTGTACCAGTTCTGCAACGAAGCAAATCATCACCAACGAAACAACGAAACTCTTCTCACCCAGACGGCGCACGGACAAAAAGTGTCCACACCCATGGCGGCAAGGCGATGCAACATGATAACAACCACGACTCCAAAATTCCCGTGCTTCGCACTCCTCCCCCCAAAACCTAAAATTGAAGTGTCCAGTTGTCCCTGGCTTTTGGCCTGCCGCCAAAACCCGTCAACTTCGAATCTAGGAGAAAGGGGGTACGCATGTTGGCCCGACACAATTTAATGACTCAAGGTCTTGGCGAGACACGTGTGGACACTTCTAGTCCACCCGCCGTAGCAGTGCCTGAACCTAATCTGCTTTATCCGCCTTCCTACCTCGTGTCTCAGCCTGCTTCTTCCGACCGGCGCGTGGTCCGCCTTCCTATTTCGTGTTTTTACATATTTCTCCCGTGCGGTCTGGATCGTCGCTGTTCCAGCTCGCCCCGCGCACCATACGTGGGCGCCGTCGAGGAAGTCTGGCGCGTGTGTGTGGCTCTCCAGCGCGCATGGGCCGCCGTCCGCTCGGCCTGCCGGCGGTTGGTTTTTGACGGCGCCCGGGGGCATACCTCGGAGGCCTCCAGACGGTGTGGTGGCCACACCGTGTGGTGAGTCGGTGGGGGTTCGGGGTCGCAGCACGGTTTTGGGACTCGAGTCCCTCTCCGAGGATGTCTTGGGCGACAGGGACATCCAGGGTCCCAAGACCGTGCGGTGACGGGCCGTGCGGTGAGGTCTCGTGGGGTTCCGAGGTCACCACACGGTTTTGAGATACCCAATCCCAGGTGGTGCAGAGACGGGAAGGGTGCGGAATGGCGGAAGGGGGCAGAGCAGGAGGAAAATCGAAGAAGAGAAGACTGCATAAGCTCAAGTCGGGCATTTACCTCCACAGGAGAAATTGTCAAGAACAGTTCAAACAAAGCCTGGGGACTGTGTTTCGATTATTGTCTCTATTATGTGTGTTGAGTGTTGTTTTGGCAATGATGCATTTTTCTTCTAAGATCCGTCTGCGGGAGGACATGCCCAACCTAAGCATGAGCATCACCTGTCGGAGCTCCGCGCAGAATTCTTGCATGTGCGGTGGAGGCCCATGGCGCTTTCGCCAGGTTTCGGGCCCCGGGACCTTCACAGACTGGTCCAGCTCGAGAAATGGCGCAGGAGCATGGGGTCTAACGGCTTCAGTCGTGACTGGCCTCGAAGAAGAAGACATTGCATAAGCATAAGCTTTCGGAGCTCCGCGAATATCTCTTGCATGTGCGCTGGAAACCAATGGTGGCGCCTCCGGCGCCGCCCGTGGCGCACTCCGCGCGCCAGGGATAGGGGTCCAGCGCGGATCCAAGAAATCTGCGCGGACCTCCGAACGTTTACCTTTATGCCGCCTTCTTTGCTTCGAGAAGAAGAGGCTACCATGCGGTGCAACGAGATGTCCAGAGTACGTGGTATTCCGCGCGTGTGGACGATGTCGGGATGTGGTGAGGACGTGTTGGGAGTAGACTGATCGCGCTCCGCGGCTGCAGGGACATCATTCGCTAGCTGTTTGCCGTGTGTCTACTGCTGGCAGTAAGGTTCGGAGTTGGTATGGTCTCGCACGGTCTTTGCTGAATGGTTTTTTGGTCAAACCATGTTCTGGGCGTGATCGGGATCGATCTGGGCACACGTACCAGTGTACACACGGATGGCAACACGGATATTTTGGATTAGTGACTTCTGTTAGGAGGGTTACGCCATTCCGCGGATCGTCAAAAGAGGGAACCCGCGACGGGACATTCATAAGCGACTTGCGGTCTGTGGGGGGGCTTCTTGGGGGGCTCTTGGAGATTTGTATGGGGGCATATTGGAAGTCTTTTGAGAGCCACTGGGTGCCTCTCGGGGTTTTCTTGGGGCCTATTGGGGGCGGCCTCTTGTGGGCTTCCCCGGGCACGTCTAGGGTTTTCGGTATCATCTCGAGTGGGAAGGCTCCTGGGGCCCCTTCGAGCTCCGCCTCTTGGGCCCCTCTTGCGGCCCTTTTTGGGGCCTCTTGGGCCGTCTTGGGGGGTTTGGTTGGGCCGTCTTGGGGGCCTTCTTTGGACCGTCTTGGGGGCCTTCTCTGGTCCGTCTTGGGCTGGTCTCGGGGCCTGCCAGGCTGCCTCTCGGCTTGCAGACGACCGACACGGCGAGCACACGACATTTTTGCAACGCACCCTCGGAAAACCAATGATGCTGTGATCGTTTTCTGATTCATTGTTTCGCCGATCTGCGCGGGCCCTCGCCCCCCCCCCCCCCTTGAAGTAGATCTTGGCTGTTTTGGGCGCCTGTTTCAAGCAGGAGGAGTCTCCCCCATAGTTGCAAACAGACGCAGTAAGCAGAAGTCCAGAGCCAGATCCCCCCCCCTTCCCCCCCCCCTTCTGCCCAATGTCGAAACGCCGAATAAGAAAACGCTCACAAGCTAATGATGTCTGCCTCCTGCGGTCATCTTGGGGGTCCTTTTGGAGCCCTTTGTGGGGCATCTTTTGAGTCGGGCCGTTTTCTGACGCCATCTTCGGTGCTCTTGCGGCGTCTCCGGCGTGTTGGAGCCCTTCATGGAGCCGTCTCGAGAAGCAACTTGGGCATCTTCTTGATGGCGATGAAGGGTGGATTTCGAGGCACCGAGGGCCAAGGAGGGTTGGCGATTCCGTTCGCGCGGGATCCTCCCCAGTACACGAGATTTTGGATCCAGGGGTGAGAGGTAACCCTGACCTTCCGGAGTGCTGAAAAATCGCCCTCCAGACCTGTAGACCTATCTGGACTGCTTAAAACCTCGACGGGAATTTAGGCGTCAAGGTCCTGGTGCTATTTTTACCCTCGTGAAAGGTCAAGGAAGGGAGGACGGAGACAGCCAAATGTCTTTTCAACGCCTTGTCGACGGTTTCTTGTCAGCGGTGGCAAGCACTTGTTTTCCGCGTGGTGCCCTGGCTGATCGGTGGCATCCTGTAACGGGCTTGTGTATGCTCGCAACCGAGGGCGCAGCCTGTGTTGGCCACTAGGGCCGTGCAGGCAGCCGAGGGCGCCACTTTTAGCACAACCATCAGCAGGCCGTGTCGTATTTTCCGCAAACGAGGGCGCAACAGATGCCGCAACAGCAGGACGTTGTATTTTCGGCAGCCGAGGGCGCAACCTACCGCGCAACCCGCGGATGTCACAACGTGTGGCGCAACCCATGGATGGGGCAACGTGTGGTGCAACCCATGGATGACGCAACCTGTTGCGCAAACAATTCGCGACGTATGGGGCAACCCAGTGATATCGTAACCCGTGTCGCAAGTGGGCCACAGTGGTGGGCCCTAAGTTGTACGTGGTGACCATGCTCGCGATTTGGGCTGGCGGTGGGAACCAAGCGGCGAGCTGCCTAATGACTGTGCCGTCGCACCCGTGCTCTCCTACCAAGAAGAACGGCAGATCACCCCACGCTCCTGGTGCCGCCCCGGGAGGGCCGGCGGACTAGAGTGCACCAGGTTTGATGCCACGCTTCTTGGTCTCCCTCGTTATGTTGAGTGCTTTGTTGCCTCGTCATGCTCGTAGTAACGCGCGTCAGGAGGAATCGCCAGCCACCGCTGCAGCAAGCTCACCGCGAGCAGCCAGAGCCAGCGGAACGGGGGACGGGAGCTTGCAGTTGACAGCCGGCTTGGATGTTAGTTGAGTGTGATGACTTTCTCGCTGCATTTCCCCACGCGTGTTCGTGCTGTGTCGTGCTTGCCGCAGGTTACCAACTCGAAGCACTGCTGGCTGCACAGCCGTAGCCAAAAGTTATATCGGATAAGACCCCGATCAATTACTCGCATGCGTTAAACGGCAGTGTAATGGCAGCGGACGAGTTCAAAGGAGTTAGCCGGGGCTCGGGCTGGCATTTTAATCGCAGGGGCCTGGGCCCCTGTACACGGCCGCCTGCGCAATGTGGCGGCTGGTGTGCCCCTGTTTGCTGCAAGGAGGGACGCTACAAGCGAACACCTCTCAGGCGCCGTTGGCCTTGAAGGAAGCCGAGGTGGTCTTGCTGACCGTCGGGGCGGTGATCTCTGTGGCCTCGGCCACCTTCCGCGAGAGGGAGCATCCTGCGCCTGGAGCTGAGCTGTGCCGGGCCTCGCCAGAGTCGAGCAACCATGGATGTGGGCATCCTCCCGCGGACACCCCCCCGGCCAGCCCCGTGTCCCGTTCCGCCCGCGGCTTGGCACCGCTGAACAGGAGCGGGTTCGGGCCCCGACCGACAAGGAGGAACGGGGGCTTTTCGAGCCCGGAGTCGATCGCGGGGTGCCGCCTGTTGGCCTCTTCCCATGCCCCCGTCCCCACGCTCCCGCGGAAGGAGGGGCCACAGGGATCGCCGAAGCTTTCGCCCCAGGGACCAGCGCGACGTGAGCCGGCGCCGCGGAAACCTACGGAAGGCCAAGGGGCGCTCTACAAACTCGCCCGCTCCAGGGCGACATTGGAGAGGTTCGGGCGAAGAGAACTATGCACATGCACCGGTCCTGGCCAGGCCCATCCTTGGCCCCAGGATCGGTGCATATGCTTTCCTGGCCAAGGAAGGAGGGCGTATGCACCGATCTTGGGCTCAGGATGGGCCTGGCCAAAATCGGTGTATGTGCATGGTTCTTTGTCCTCGAATTGGAGAGGCGGCAGGGAGCGTGAGCCCAGCCCACCCGTCAGCGGTGAGCGGACCGAGCCCGGCCGTGCGCGTCGGCGGCTCCACGGGTTCGGCAGCGGCACGGGCTGGGGAGGGCCTGAGAGGTGGCCCCGCCGCCGTCGGATGCGGGGGCCCCCCTCGGACGAACTCATTGATGGGTGGGTCCACCCAACCTGGGAGGCCTACCGCCGGCACGCCGTGAGGCTGGACCTGCTGATGGAGGGCGGGTGGTTTTCAAAATGCGGCTCTCGCCTTTTAGCGCCGCGCACATTCGTTTAAGAACACTGCAAGAGCTTCACAGATGGAGGGCGGGTGGTTTTCAAAATGTTGCTCTCGCCGTAGCGCCGCGCACATTCGTTTTAAACATTTGCAAGATCTTCACGGATTGAGGGCGGGTGGGTTTCAACATGTGGTTCTCGCTGTAGCGCCGCGCACATTCGTTTCAAACTTTTGCAAGAGTTTTACGGGTTGAGGGCGGGTCGTTTTCAAAATGTGGTTCTCGCCTTAGCGCCGCGCATATTCGTTTTAAAGCATTGCAAGAGTGTACGGATTCCCATGATCGACGTACCAGAAATGGCGTTTTGGAAGGATTCAGGAATGTGCGGGCGCATGAATTATGTTGATTCGCTGTGTTGAAATACCAAAAAACAGCGTTCTGGCACGATCCTGGATCGTCAAGACGCAGCAGTCAGGTTGGTACGTGGCGTTGAAATCCCGAGAACAATGTTTTGGCACGCTGCAGGATCTTCAAACTGTTGTCTTACAACGAGGCAGTTCCCTCAATGGAAATGAACCGTTGCAGGGGCCTATTGAAGAGGGAGCTTGGAGGGAGGGTTAATTCCAACATCGTTGATGACTCTTGGGTTGCCACTGGTCCTCCTCCCCCTCCTCCTCCTCCTCCTCCTCCTCCCCCTCCTCCTATCCCTCCTTCTCCTCCTCTTTACCCGTCCTCTAGTCCCTGCTTCCTTCTTGCCCTTTTCCATCCTTCCCTCCCAATTCCTAACTACTCCACTCTCCGCACCCCCCACCTCCTCCTCCTCCACCTCCTCCTCCTCCTCCTCCTCCTTCCCAAGATGGGCTGAGGGGAGGGGGGAAGGGGGGGAAGTTAACCTGAACAGAGAAAGTTGGATGGGAGAGGAGGAGTGGGGCAAAGGAGGAGAGGAGAGAGGTGCGGAGGAAAGGTCTTGGAGTCCGCGGTGGATGGATTTGGAGGCCAAGAGGGCCAGGGAGGTGCGCTGGGGAGCTGGATTTTGGACCTCAGGGGAGAGGGGCAGGGAGAGGGGGGCCACCAAACGATTCACGGCCGTTGTCACCCCCCGGCAAGCGGGGGCCTGCGGACTCTCAGGAGCCTTCGCTCCCTCCAGCTATCCCTTCTCTCTTCCCTACCGCCTGCTACATCTGATTTCTCGAGCCTACACCGTATACTCTCTACTCTCGGCTCCCCACCCTTTACCGTTCACACTCGCGTGCCCCGTCATGACACTCTTCTTCGCACCTTGTCCTCTCTGAATGCTGCACGTCGCGTTCTGCACTTTGCTGCAGGCTCTATGTTCGCTCCTCTCCGCTCTCTATATCTCCTACCCTTTACCTTCGTTTGTTCTCTCTCTCTCTCTCTCTCTCTATGTGTACCTCTTTCCACCATATGTATGTATGTATGTATGTATGTATGTATGTATGCATGCATGCATGCATGCATGTATGTATGTATGTATGTATGTATGTATGTGTACACGCTCTCTACTCTCTCTGCTCTCTCTCTCTCTCTTTCTCTCTCTCTCTCTCTCTTTTCTCCCTTCCCTATCTTTCTATCTCTCTTGCTCCCTGTCTTTTCCTACTCTCTCTCTCTCTCTCTCGTCATGTGTGTCTTTTCTATTATCGCTCTCTCTATATGTATATATATACACATAGATACACATCTGTCTTTTTGACGTCTCTCTCTCTCTCTCGCTTCCTGTCTCTCCCTCCCCCTCCCCCTTTTGCTCTATGTGCTCTCCCTGGCTTTGGGAAGCAGGCCCTCCGGCGGGCCCAGTGGCGGCCGGCGTCGCTGCGGCCAGAGCTGCCGGCGCGCCGGAGAAGCAGGCGTCGTCGTGTTGCGGCTGCTCTGCAGCTGACGTGTAGCAGGATTCCGAGGGTTCCGTCTTCCATTCATGCCAATTTGTTCCACCCTCGGGCAGAAACAGGCATGTCGTGTTGCTCTTCCCTGATGGAGCGGAAGTAGGAGGAGGACGACGACGACGAGCAGGATTCCGAAGGTTCCATGTTCCTTTCACGCCGAGTTGTTTGACCCTCGTGAAGAAACAGGCATGTCGTGGTGCCGCTCGCTGCTCATGGAAGGGGGCAGAATGAATAAGAGTAGGACGACGACGACGACCAGGATTCCGAAGGCTCCAACTTCCACGAGGTTCGAATTTGTCTGATCCTGTCTTGATTTTGACGCCTCGGCGCCAAGAACCGTCAGAATTGAGCGGAAGCAGGACTGATCAGGACTGAGCGGACGATGTGCGATTTAGAGTGTATCGCGATTGCGCTGTAGGCCCGAGCAGAAGGCCGACGAGGTCTGCTTGCTCCTGCTTGCAAGTTTCGGCACGGTGATTCCTATACAGAACTTTCAACCGTGCAGACATCCAAGCCGAGGTTAACATACATAGTCTTCAGTCTTGCGGCAAAGCTGCACAAGCGAGAGAGAGAGAGAGACCATTCCCCCAAATATGATGAGATAATATCTCCCATACTTCTCGGCTCCCTAACGGGCACCCTGATTTGCAACACGGTGAGCTCATGCATCGCCTCAAGTTGGTGCCCCAACCGTGAAAGGACAGCAGACGTGGACCCTTTAATGGTGCACCGCGGCCAGCGGCGGGGCAACGGGAGGAGGAGGAGGGGGAGGAGGGGGAGGAGGAGGAGGAGGAGGAGGAGGAGGAGGAGGAGGAGGAGGAGGAGGAGGAGGAGGAGGAGGAGGAGGAGGAGGAGGAGGAGGAGGAGGAGGAGGAGGAGGAGCAGTCTGGCCAGTGCGGGGCACCAGCGGGGCGCCCGCGAGCTCTGGCGGAGCCTGTGGGGGGCGCGAGAGCGCGGCGGTGCGGCGGGCCTGCGCATGGGCGCCCGCCGGCCCCCCCCGCCGAGCGCGCCGCGCTCCGCCCGGCTGCCCGCGTCGAGGCGTCGCCCCAGCACGGCCTGGCCGCCGAGAGGGACACGGCCTTTGCCAGAGAGGGCGCCACGATCACGCTCCACGGCCTGAAGACGGCACGCCTCCCCGGGCGCGGTCCTCCTTCCTGCGGCGGCGAGCGGGGGGAGGGGGGAGGGAGGAGGAGCAGGCCCTCTCGGAAGGCGGCGGGGCTTCTCAGAAGCCTTCGCGCCTTCTGATTTTCCGTGTCTTCGGGGAAGGCTCAGAAAATTTCTCAGACTGGGGACTTCCGAGCCTTCTGAGAAGGCCCGCCCCTTCTCACTTCCCCCCTCGCTCAATGCCAATTCTTGTCGCCGCCTGCCTACTGCTGCTGCTGCTGCGGTTGCTGCGGTTTCGTTCGGCTGCTGCTGCTGGTGCTGGTGGTGGTGGTGCTGCTGCTGCTGCTGCTGCTGCTGCTACTACTGCTGCTGCTGCTACGGCTGTAACTGCTCCAGTCATTTACTGCTGTGGCCACCGTGCTTACCGGCACTGTTGCTGGTACTATCACAGCTTCCAGCTGCTAGCAGCTAGCAGTTGTAACATACGTGAGGCGACAGCACGGCCCCGGCGCTGCCCGCAGAGCGGAGGGTCGCCGGCCATCTAGGGGCTCTCTCTGTGGCCGTCTGAGGGCGGTCTTGGGCCGTATGGCGCCTTCGGAGGCCGTCTTGAAGGCCTACATGTGCCGTCTTAGGGGCCCCCTTGGGGCTTTCTTAGGCCGCCTTGGGTTCGTCCAGTCTTGGGCTGGTCTTGGGCTGCCTTTTGGGCGCTCTCAGAGTTTTAGAACCAAAAAAGCGAGAACCCGAAGAACAGTGGAAAGCTGCATGTTCGTTCACGCGCTTGGCCTCCTGGACCAGCCCCGACAGCCCCTAAGACGGCCCAAGATACCCCAAGGGAACCTCTTGGGCCCTTCTGGGCCGTCTTGAGGCTCTCTTGGGGCCGTCTTGGGGACTTCTTTGGCCGTCCGGGGGCCATCTCGGAGGCCTCTAGGGCGCTTATGGGGCTATCTTGGTGAGTTCTGGGGCCGAATTCGGCTGCTGGAAAGCCGACTGTAATTACACAAACGCCAACATAATTGAAACCCAAATGGAGTATCAATAAGTTTGACCTCATCGGACTTCCTGGAAGCCATCTTGGAGGCCTCTTGGACCATCGTGGAGGCCTCGTGGGCCATTTTGGAGGCCTCTTTGGCCGTCTCGGGCATCTTGAGGCCATCTCGGGCCACATTTAGGGCAGTTGGCCTCTTTGGGCCGTCCTGAAGGCCCTCTTGGAGGCCTCTTGGGCCGTCTTTGAGGACCCCTGGGCCGTCGTGGGGCAATCTTGAGGCCATCTTGGACAATCTCTTGGCCTCTTGGGGGCATCTTGGCAGCCTCTTGGCCTTCGGAGGCCGTCTTGGGCCCTCCTTAGGCAGTAGTGGGCCCTTGTAGTTGTAGTTGTAGTTGTAGTTGTGGGGCCATAAAGGCAAAGAAAAGGACCGAGGGGCCTCCAGGGGCACCAAGCGCCACCCGAGACACGCCCTCCCGAGGGGGGCCGCCTAGGGCCGCCTCTCGCCGCGGGGGCCGCACTGGGCCTCCACCGCGCGGCACCACAGGCGAGAGCAGAACTACATGCAGAACGCAACTGCCCGCCTCACCCTTCACTCTTGGGCCGCGTCGTGCAACGCGCACGGACCAACAGATCATCGAGGAGCCGCTGACGCTCCTCGGCATCTGGACAACCTGCACTCCCGAGGCGGACGCCGAGGGCGCGGTCCTCGGCCAAGTCCAGGAGTGACACAACTCCCGACTTCGGCCCCTTGGCCGCACACGCCACCGCCGCCACCGAGAAGCCGTCCAGGAACGAAACGAACACGCCCTCCGAGCTCGAGTGGCCATCGCCCGCGGCGCAGCCGACGCTGTCCGCGACCAGGGGGGGCTCCACGCCGACGGCGCGCTCGATGGCCGCGCCTCCCACGGGCACCTCCACGACGGCCACGGACGGCGGCCGCGGCGTCTCCTTCGCGCGGTGCATCGAGCCTCCGTCAAGCGTCGCGACGCCGCTCGGTTTGCACGCCCGAATGAGCAGCTCGAGCTCGAGGGCCCTCCCCACGGACATGCCTGGCGGATGGGCCTGCACCAGCCAGGGCCCTTCGGCGAACCGCACACACACCAGGCGGGTCGCCGACGAGGCCTCACGGAGGTGCCGAACCTCTCGCACTCGCAGAGGTGCATCAGGTCGACGGCCTTCGCATGGCACGTCCACGCGGGGTCCAACCACGGAGTGACAGGGCCATGCAGAAGGATCCCAGACACACCGAGCGTGCCTCCCAGGGCCCCCACCCCCAAGTCGACGACGTCGGGCCACGGAGCGAAGGATACCCGCTTGCTCCTCTCACACTCCTGCCCCAGCCCGACAGGATCGGCCCCGCTCGGCTCGCTGGCACGCCTTTCGCCGTGCAGCCCGCACGGCAAGGGCACCACGTTGCTCCCCTCGGACACGCGCAGCTCCTCGGGGCCTACCTCGGATCCGTCGGCGGCGAGCGCAAGCGTGCCGTGTACCTCCTCGGGCCCGCACCCACCACCGCGCCTGGAGCCCGAGCGCTCCAGCCAGGCAGCGCGCGCCAGCTCGTACTCCGCGGCCAGCTCGCTGCCGTCCGAGAACTCGTCGCGCAGGAACTGCCCGTGCTCGGACCCGAGATCCTCGAACTCAGAATCCCCCTCGAACTCCGAGTCCCCCTCTAGGCTGTCCCCGCTCCGCCACGGCCGCCACGCCGAGCAACGCGCCGCATCAGCGCGATCCTCCTCGGCCTCGCAGCCGAACTCCGCGATGATCTCCTCCGCCTCGATGCTCTCGGCGCCGCCCTCGCTGCAGCCCTGCTCGGCCAGCTGCGCCACGCCGAGCTCCTCCAGCAGCGCGGCCCAGCGCGCCCACTCGGGGAGGTACAGCTGGGCGCCAGACCGCAGCGGGGTCCTCGCGGCCGCCACTCGGGCGCTGGGCAGCCGCGCTGGCGCCTCGGCCACGCAAGCATCCAATGCGCACCCAATCGGCGGCTGCACTTCGCAGACGCAGGTCTCCACCTCACACATGATGGCACTCTGCGCCGCACCGCCGCGCCCATCACCAGGAAGGGGCCCTCCTGGGAGGCGCGGCCCGCGTTGAGCCCTGCGCCATTCCTGCGGCGGGGCGTCTGCCGACGGGCAGCGCTCGGCATGCCACGCGACGTTCCGTCGCTGCCGCTGCGCCCTGGTTTCGCGGCGTTCGCGGACGCGCGCAACCAAGGCGGGCCGCGCGATGGCTTCGCGGCGGAGGGCCTCCGCCTCCGCGGCGTCGCCGCGCGATCCGCACTCCAGCTGCGCCTGGAGGCTGGCGATGACTTCCTTCGCCTCCCGCAGCTCCCTGTCAAGCCGTCTCACCAGGTTGTCTGCCGCCCAGCGGGCCGCCGCGACACCGGTGAGCACCTCCCGCACCATTCTGCCCAAGCTCCCGCGCGCGGCGCGCGCCCGAGCACGGCTTGAGCCAAAATGGCTACGGAAGTAGTGGGTCCTTCTTTGGGCGTTTAGGGTCGTCTGGAAGGTCTCTGTGGGCCGTCTTGGGGGCCTCTCGGGCAGCCTTGGGAACCCCTGAGGCTTTCTTGCGGGCCTCTTCGGGGCCTCTTGGGCCGTGGGCCATCTGAGCCGTCTCGGAGGCGCCTTTGGACCGTCTTGGAGACCATCTTGGCCGTCTTGGGGGCGTCTTGGGACCCTCTTCGAGGCCATCTTGGGCCATCTTGGCCGTCTTGGGATGTTTTTTGTTGGGCATTGAGGTCCTTCGGGTGGCCGGCGGGTTGGCCCGAAGGTCCCCTAGAAGCATGCTCAAATATAACCAAGAACTGCCTAACGTTTGGGACGCCGTGCACCCCTTTGGAAAGCACAGGGGGCGGCGGATGTAGTGGCCTCTGGCTTATCCTGCCACCAGACCTTCGGGGCTGCTGGATGATCTTCTGGAAGACTCTTGGGGGGTCTTGGGTTTGTCTTGGGCAGGGAAGGTCCTTGGTATGCACACAGAGGCCTTGATGAACGATGGAAAATATGATTTGGCAAGTTTCGGCCCTTCGAGGCTCACGCGGCACTCCTCGAGAGCGCCTGGAAATACCCGCAGAACCAGCGCCCAGGTTTCTCGTACCTCGTACTCTCGTCTTCTTATCCGAGAGAGAAGGGGGGGGGCTACAGCTCCGGTCACGCGAACACGCTCCCGATCGCACGCGTGTTGGCTGCTTCGGGGCGAGCAAACACCGTTGCGTTTACCTCCTCCTCCTCCTCCTCCTCCTCCTCCTCCTCCTCCTCCTCCTCCTCTCAGCCCAGGGGGTGGGCGCCGACCGCAAGCAGACGCGATGGGTGTGCCTGTCTTCCTCCTGGCTGGGTCTCCGCGCCCCGCACGCCCCGCCGAGGAGGGGGCCGCTTCGGGCTGGCACTCCTGGCCCACGGGCGGAGGAGAAGTTGCAACACCGCAAACATCGGCGGCGAGCGAGCGAGGGGGGGGGGGGGCAAGGCTCGTTTCGACTCCTCCGATTCGATTCGATTCTCCTTCGAGTGATTTCGATTCCGAGTCGATCCGACTTGGGGTTCCGCTTTGGGTTCCGACTTCTTATTCGACGCGTACTAGCCTGCCGACTTCCGCCGATTCGACTTTCCCCGACTCGGCTGCCGATTTCCGCCGATCCGGCTTATTTCGATCGCCGATCCGACTTCTCGATTCGATTCTGGGCTCCCCTGGGGGCATGAGAAGGAGAAGGCCTCCTCGGAAGGCGGCGGGACTTCTCAGAAGCCCTCGCGCCTTCGGGAAGTTTTTGTTCTGTCTTCGGGGGAGGCTCAGAGAACTTCTCAGAAGGCCCGGGGACTTCCGAACCTTCTCAGAAGGCCTTCTCCTTCTCTCATTTCCCCCACTCGCTCGCCGCCGAAAAAAATCACGACTGGAACCTCACCCATCGTTCGTCGAAAGCCGGAATTTCTGGATCCTCACCTCCCGAAATCTGCTTTAGGCGCCCTCCGGCTTCGGTCGTCGAGTACTTCTGCCTTCTCCTCCCTCTTCGAGCGGGGCGGGCGGAAGCCCAAGCGGCTTCCAACGC